CTCTCTCCGACACCTGGAAAAGGAAACAGATGCCACACATGTAGGATCAGTAAAGTAGAAATACACCCCAAAAAGTGTGGGTGAGGAATAGGCATCCGGTACACTGAAAGATCTGATCCTACATTGCAAAAAAATGGAGGAAGAGGGGAGGACTGCAGCACGGCCCTATACCAAAGCCCCTCTCCTGAGGTGAAGTATTCCTGGGGCAAATCCCTGTCCCCAGCTGGGTCATGGTGGCTGCGGGGTGAGGAGCGAGGCCACCCTCCCCAGAGCACCGGGAAACTCCACTGAGCGCTTTCCCCTACCTGCGGTATGTGGCATTATCACGCTCCTTTTCCGATACTCACAGCAGCAGTTCTAGTAGCAACACTATAATCAGAAGCCATGGCAGGCTTCGACTGTCACCGAGCTCTGCAAAAGAGCCTTCTGCCACTTTCTTCTCTCACAAGGGTGAAGATTAACTATTCCAGATAGATGTAGGTGCTTTACTATTTTTCTAATTTAAGTGCTCAAAATAATTTCCAGAACTATCTTTGAAAGTAAATAAAGAATATACATCTGTATTATTCTATGTATTCATACGCATATATTAATATTTTATATATACATGCAGTATTGCAAAATAAACTTCAAATTATCTAGCGCAATGCAATTCCATTCTAAGATTCTGATGAAAATGCTATCTTGCTGCTTTTCCTGGTCTAAAAAAAAAACCCTATTGAAAATGATGGCTTTATTATAAAAATTAAATGAACGTACAAAGGCTAATAAACAATATTATATTTGTAAACTTTTTTTGTTCAGTAGTTTCAAAAAAATTTGGCATTTCACATGAAGGCTCGTCTACTCTAGAAAGGAACTCAGGGGTGAATGCATCAGTTATACTGTTGCAGCTATAGCAGCAAAAAGTTTTCACAGCAAAAAAGATTTCCACATAGTAATCCTTAGTTCAATATATATATAAATTCCCTTTCAGCAGACATTCAACAACAAAAAAAACCCTTCGTGACAGAAATAATAATACAGATTCAAATTTAAAAGAACTATGCAAAAATTCCCTAACTACTTACCGCTGATTGACAAAAGGAGTGGAGAACTCTGCAAGCAGACGGAAGTTTCCAAAATAAGCCAACAGACCTTTGCTCTGGTTAGCAAAACAAAATAGACATACAAAAATCAACAATGTAGATGTGAAATCTTGATTAAAGTCTTCAAGTATACACAGAATGATACAACGTCTCAACTTCTTTATTAAAACTGATAGTAGGCGAGTTTGCCAGCTGTGGCCAACTTCCTTACAATTTCAAAATTTCCTTACAAAAGCTGCAATTGTCCTTCAGGTACCTCAAATCAGTAGTTTCTTATTTAAAATAAATCTCTAAAAGACATACAGTTAAGTGGCGATGGAAAGCTAGCTAGAGAAGACTGGCACAAGTAGTCATAGGTTGTAATTATAATGATATAATTACTGTCTAAAAGAATTACAGATGATTTCTCAATGTTTAAACAAGCCCAAAGGGAAACACTGTAAGCTAAAGAAAAATGTCCCCGCATTGTTTTAGGAACAAAGTGAAGATGAATTCCCAGCTCTTATTTGGCAGCAGCAAAGGTGCATAAAGCCCCTTCTTCTCTCCTCCCCACTGCAGGGGAAGCCCTTTGCACCAGCACTGTCGCGGTCCCTGCTGCGCCCTGCGGGTTGGAAGAAGAGCACATCTTCTCCGTGCCGGCATCCAGACAACTGCGTGGTACCTTTACATACACGTTGTGACTGAGCACTTTCCTCCGAGTGACAAAGTACAGCATATTCTCTGCCTTATCATCTGGTTGTGCTGGAAATAGTATCCCATTACACAATGGCTGGGTAAGCAGCAGTTTGCAGATGTAGAGATAAAAAGATATTTTTTTTAATTTCAGTAGGTCTCCTGAACGACCGACGGAGTGTGTGATCATTCCTCTTTCCCCCACCGAGCGTGCTAATACCCACTACTTCAGGCATTTCATGTCAGTTCGCGCTACACCAAACAGAAATTCTGTGTTCTTAATCGAATTCTCTCTCTTAATCAATCTCCAAGAGCAGTTTTTGAAACAAGATACTTATGAGTAACTTTCTCTGAAGATAAGAGAATGAGAGTAACACACAGACAGCCAAGGGCAGAGCTAGTTCCAAATAACAAGAACGGCTTTAAAGGGAGTTCGCACTAACACTACGCTTTCTATTTAGTCCAGAAACAACTCATTAATTTTCTGCATCAGGGATTAGCCTTGGTAGTGGTATTTTCATTTCTCTAACATTCAGCTCTAATTCACTTTCATCCGTGATAATATTAGTAGATCTAATTATCTTCAACCCAAAACAGAGTATTTACTTGTCAGTGTACTTCATCCCCTTTAAACCGTTACATGGGAAATCTGACAGTAATCTGGCACCTCGACACTTTCAATATTGTAAGCCTGGGATTCACACAGTAGGCAGGGAAAGAAATGTGGTAAATGAAGTAAATTGTATTTTGTAAGTTTTCTTTATTTACTGAATGAGCTTTTCAGAAGAAATTCAGGAGCATTATTCTGGAGGTCAGTGGGATTTCTACCAAGTCACATGGGCATCTTTGAGAAATTCCAGCAGCAGCAAAGAGTAACTAAGTTAGTCTTTATCCTAGAACAGTATTCTTCTCTTCCCCTTTTCCCTTCAATGGATGTATGCCACAGGTATTTATAGATATATACAGTTAATCGTCCATTGTTTCCCCACCAAAGTAACCTTAAACAAGATCAGCTTGTGTCACAACAAATTTTAGAAAAATAGAAATGGAAAAAGAAAAAAAACAAAACCACCCCAGAAAAAACACACCCAGCTGACTGCAGTACATTCACCAGAGTTAGGGATCACTGACCTACGGCCTTGCAAATACAATCACAAGCAGAACATAACCACTTGAAACCATTTCCTTCTAATTTTCGAACTAAATATTCAGACTTGTGGTTTTATTTGAAACTCTTTTCTATAATCATGTGAAAAGCCCCTCTGTCAAAGTCTCTCTACAGCAAAAACCAAGAAGAGCTTTAATTTCAGCAGCTAAGTAAGTTACACGTTTTTGCTGAAGGACTGTAACGTTGAAAAGGCACGCACTTACCACAAATGACTGATAAAACCATTTAGAAAGTAATGATGATTGAAAACATAAATATGCCTTTCACAAAGCTAACACACCAACCAGTGAAGAATTTTTTTAAGCATTAAGCAAATGAGATCTATAAAAGCATTGTCTTCAATCTCATCTGCTTGTTATGTTACTGGAAAATACAGCACTCACCAGTACAAAATAGTAAGCGTACAGAGCTGCCAAGTGATGTATTACAAAAAATTTGTCACCAATTGCCTTCCAGTAGTAAATAATAAGCAACAAATCTACAAGAGAAAAGAAATAATGATAAAGAACAATTTATTATACTACCATTGACCTCAGAATAGTGTTTCTCTAAGTTTTAGAGGTATAAATGCCAACATATGGCATCAGTAGAAACTCTCTGAATTAATTATTTCTGAAGAGAACATCTTATCCTAAAAACTTTACTGTAGTCAAAGCATTAAGCAACAGTATTCTTCCAACAGTTGCCATGAACTATTACTTTCCACATCAATGGAAGTACAGAAGCAATAGCTTTAGCTGAAATATTTTACAAGGAAAAAGTGGATCCAGAATGTCATAACATGACATCACACTTATGAACTCCAAAATTTGGAACAAGTGACCAAAAAAAAAAAGGGGGGTGGGGGGCTACAGGAGGCATAGCCAATATACAAATACATGCAATAAATGCAGGGATCTATTATGGGGAACTTCTGAATCAAAAAGTAGTTGTATTAGCAAACAGGGAACCATTTACCAAAAATATTTTGCAAGGGGCACTTGGAATGAGAAGCATGTTTGCTTATTTAATCACAATTTTCCAATTGCTGCAAAAGTGATATAGTGGACCTGAATTAATGTTATAAGGAAAGCTTTGACAGAAAAATTCTTTCTTGTCCCATGACGGTCTGAGATTTCAGAAGATTTTCTTTTCTATACTGGAACAAGCAATTTCTTCCACTACTTCCTCCAAATGAGTACTTTGGACTGGAATATTAGTGACCAAGGTTCCAAATCAAAACTTTACCCCTGTGCCTTTCGTATCTCCAGTGGGTGCCTTGATCTCTTTTATATTAGCTATCCTCAGGCAGGACTCTGTATCATCTGACACAGCCACTCCACTTCCTATTAATAATTAAGCATAAAACTATATAAGGAAGTGAGAGAGAATGAGTGGCCAGGTTCAGGTCTCTGTTCAAAGGCATTCATTAATTCATAATGAAAGTCTAATGCATAATTATTCAAAAATAGATACCAATGAATTTAAACATGGGAGCTGAAGTTGTTCTTATGGAAAAAACGGAGACTTAAATTAACCCACAGTTTAACTGGGTGTGCTGATCACCACGTTATCAATTCCACGGGGGTCAGAAATCTAGTCTGAGAGATAATCAAGTCCATGGCCCAGTCTCTGACCAGATACTCCATCCTAACACGAGAAGTTTTCCCTGAAAATACTCCAAGCCACAATAAGTTTTTGCTTTGATAAGTCAGCGCTATCCCCACACACCATAAAAGAAAGCTCCAAAGCATTTTGTAGCAAAATTCCCATGCCAGTTTTAGTTGACAGTAAATAATTAAGAACACAAAATATATGTAGGGGTAAATGCCATACCAAGAAAATAATTTAAAATTTCCATGTTTTATACATGACTAAATTTTGGCTTAAAGTGAGACTAAAAGGTGGGGGGCAGGATCCTATGGCATCATTTGCCTCAGCTTGTATTGAGGGTTACTAAAATTCTTCTGCCAGCATTCTGAGGTCACAAGAAGAAACATATGACAAAAGAGCTACAAGTTGTAGACACCCTGAAGGGAGTGAAGGGCACTGTTTTAACACCTTCTCAATTGCCCGAAGGACAAAACTGAGCTGGAATTGGTGGTTGTGTATCAAACCATCACAAAGCCACACAGTGGCATTTCCTCAGTGCTTGAGGAGATATCATTCCATCTTTCACATCTGCTGGCAAAATCCTGTGATTGCACCACAACCCACAACTCCATTAGCAATTTTAAAAGCCACAGTAGAAACTGTATTGTATGCACATATCACATCTCCAGCATAGTGGTTCAGTATAAAGATATAGGCATAGTGACTCAATATAAATATACAGGTTGTGTGTGTTATATACATGTTGCATAATTACCAGAAATGAGGTAGCCTGTGGTAATAGCAATATTCAGTTTCACAATTGAAGGGTCACCCCTGTAAACATACCAAAAATACACAGTTACAGCCTTTAGAACAAGGTAATTTGCAAAAGACATACACATATCAAACACATAATGTCCATCAGTCCATCAGGTCACCTTATTCTGGGCCCATCAGTAAAAGGTTACGAGATTTGGTTAAGAAAGGTCCTAGTCATGAAAATGCATTCCTTTTCCATCCAGATATAAAACATCTTCTAACTACCCTAAATCAGGATTACCCCCTGCCTTGGGGTAGAGACTGCCCCAGGAGCCTCGCCAGAGACTAGAACTGAAACCCAGCAAGTACTCTGAGCTGGCTTCTCTGGAAACGGAGGATAAAAGAGAACAGCCCAGGCAGCGTCTCTTAGCACTTTAACTGACACTCTGCGTCTCCATTTTTGTTCTTCTGCCAGTGTTAAAACTTTGTTAAGGATGACAAAAATATCTCGCTCAGCCAGTGCTTTTCATATTCGTAAGAAATGGATGTTTATAGGGATAAACAGAGTAGAAGGAGACATGAAAGGAATTATTTGCCAGTTCTTTGAAGCCAAGGAACCTTCGAGGAGGAAAGCTTTTCAGAGTAGTTTCACACCTTCTGTCCCTTCCCTTTTGGTGCCAAACATTCAGCAGGCAAAGCTCTTAGTAGCACACACACAACTCGGCTCCTCTAGGTTGTTCACCAAACCCAAACTTGTGAATACAGCTCAAGAAAGGGAAGCATCCACATTACAGCAACATTTTTTCTTTCCTCCACTGTCCTCTGTGCATTCCTACTTTGAGGAGTTTGGTAAGCAAATCTCTTTTCCTCGGCATAAAGATCATAATTTTTTTTTAACTAAGTTGTGCATCTAATCTAGATATGTTTTGTGCAAGTGTTAATTGAGCTTCAAGTGACAGGTCTACAGATTTATAAAGTGTGGACGGCTCAAGACAAGCTGTGAAAGCAATCTTTGTTGTAAACCTCTCGAGAAAAGAAGAACATAACTCTGCTTACAGCCATCTCCAATACAAAGTCCACCTCAGCTAGAAAGCAGTAAAATGCTATTTCTTAGCTATTATTTTTTAATCCTATTGGAATGAAGCAGTGGAAGAGATTTCCTGTATTATTACAATCTGTTCACTAAATTTTAAGGCTTTCTTAGCCTCTAAAACTAACTGCTTCCCTGAGTGAGAGGGTAGCTTACAGGAAAATAGGACTCACAAAACCAGAATTCTGCCATTAGGTGAGGAAAAACATTACCAGAAGAGCCTGGAGCTCACTCCATCTCTTAAGATTGGCCATCAAGGCTCTCTTAACTACAATTTGAGACAGGAACATTTTTCCATGGCTTCAAAACCTGTTTTCATCAGCCACATAGGTTGTGGGCCGAGTCCTTCTTTACGTGTAGCTCTTCTGAAAGTCACAGTGGACACAGAGCATAGACAGATGTGTTCTCACAACTTTAGCAGAAACTCTTTAAATAGTTACAGCCCTCCTGTTAGAGCTCCCAGCTGCGGCAGCAGCAACATCATAACCAAACTTGTAAGTGCTCCCAACACACTTCAGCACATCATCACCAAGATTGAGCCTGCGCTCAAGAACCTTCATACTCTTCTCCAGAGAAGGCGCAAAGGCCTGAGTATATGAAACTGATATTGGTTCCTTGATATTGGTAAACATGGCTTAAGTGGATGAGACAGGCAATGATTCACTTCCCTTCATTCTTTCCATGAGAATGGTCACCTTGCAACAAACCTTCTCTAGACTTTCTAAACCAACACTTCAACAACATGTATGGCTGCACTGCCCATCTGTCACCTCCCTTCAAGAAGAGTCCATGTTAGAATCCCAAGTTAGTATCAATTAATGGAAAACTTAGAATTTAGTCTAAAATCTTCTAGATTTCCTGATCTGTCTCCTTGAAGGGGAAGTGCAACGGAGCTTATGAGCCCTGATGTTTGCAGCCTAGTTTTGATGCAAGCAAGAGCCAGGAGTGACAAACAGGGAGTGACTTGAATAAGCAAAAGGGAAGAGCTCTCTCTTTTGTGATTGCTAAGGAGGTATGTGCGGCAAATGAATTACACACAAACATGCACAGGCAGATATAACAAACAAAAGTCCACATGACCGACTTCCTTCAAACTTCTTTGCAGATACTTCGCAGATACAGAGTCATAGTAGATAAAAATATAATGCTAATCAAACATCAGACTTCAAAAAGTGTGATGACTGTAAAGTGATCATATGAAAAAGCCTGCTCTTCTGTGAAGCTACAATTTAATCCACTTATTTACATCTTCTCCCTCTCCTTATCTGATCTTTACCACCTCCACATTTTCTACCGTGTTATTCTCACCACCTCAGAAACAATTTCTACATCGTCTATGTTAGCTAGTCTGTATTACATATAGAAAAAAAGGCAAAGTGTTATGAGAAGTCCTAGACCATCAAAAAAGGTGTATGTACACAATGCTGATGCTTCCCTGTAACTTACCAATGCTCCAGTCCTTATTATCCTTTGTTAGGATCTATTGTATCTAGTTTCAGGCATTACCTGACAGTAATACCACATCCTCTCTCCATTGAAGCCAAACCCTTAGCAGGAGTCCTGATCCCTTTCAGGACACATGAGTACCATCATTACCATGCATTTAAGCGTCACGTGGACCCAGAAGTTAGGCTGACATACACAGAGGCTCAGAACTTGTGAGTTTCCATTATAGATGCAGAAGTCTTTAAATTCCACTGAAAAGAACTGATTGGATACTGTCATACAGTCAATGACTACACAAAGATGTAGGGAATAACTAGAGGGAAAGACCACCTGTATCAAAACCTTCCCAGTACTCTAAAATTGGAGCATCTGTCTAATGTTTTCAGGCTACCTGGGCTAGAAGAGTGCAAGAAAGCTGCGTGAAGGATTCCTGCACATTTACTTACAAACTACTGAAACTAGACTCACAAATGTTTCTTGTATTGTTAATAAGAGACTCCTACAGAAAGGCTTATGCATCCTTCGTATCTATAAATGACCAAGTCCCACTCTTATGCCTGCATTTCAAAAGGGCATTAGATTTCCAGACTGAGCAGCCTTGCAACAGTCCATCTGGCATTCCCCGTATAATTTGGTTTTTTCCTCTTCAGTCTTATTCAGTTAAAATCAAGGCTATGTGGATTCAGCTATGAATCAATGTAAAAATGATAAGCAACTTAAGACTTAATGTACAGGTGAGCCATAAAACAGACTGGAGAAAAAAAAAAAAAAAGGTTAAAGTGCTACACAGTCAGTTAAGGCTTTAATTACTGTGTACCGGGAACCAATATGACGTATGGGGGAATGCACAGACTAATGCTAGCCATCTCATTTTTAAGAGTAATGTAAAAGTCAGCCTTAGAAGAAGAATGTACATCTGCAAATTCCGAGGAAACCACCCTGTGATTCCAGCTTCACTGGCAGAAGAAAGCCTAACACAAAGTTGTATTTTACTCGCAGGCTGCATACAAGTACTTGTAAAGCCATGGGCAATATTATGTTCGGTCTTCCTTTGCAACTAATCACTTGCACGAACACGAATTCAAATCATTGCAACTGCTTTAAACACATTAAGTGATACTTCACACATTTTAAAATTATTAGTTTAATAACTAAAAATACTGATTTCCACATCTAGAGTATGTTCTGTGCACTTTTAATTGACAAATTCCTGAAACCACTAAGATAACTTTTACCAAGAAACAATTTACAGAAATACTGCCGTGAAATGAACCTGAAGCTTTGATTTAAAACACACAGATTAGATATACTTCCGCTAGATTTTTAAAAATATCCATAAAATTTTCCTTTCTCTGCCAAATGTAAATAAAACCACTGATAGCAATCATTGTAAACATATCCAAACAGAAGGAACTATTTAGAAGCAATAGTAGAAACACAGAAAAAAAATTCTCCCAAAGGCAGATGGATTTTGTCTTTTAAGATTTAATGTTTTTACATAATCTAGGATGCTAAGGCTCCATAAGCAAGATTAAGTTTTCAATGCAGTATACCAAAATATCTAACATAACTTTTCTCAAACTTACTAAGAACAAAAAAGTGGTTCAATTTCTGCTTAATTTGAATTTTTCCTGGAATTATACCAGGAAAATTTAGTAACTGTGAAGACTCAATTTATTTATCATCGCCAAGACGCTATGATTTCTGCCATTCATGACTTCTTTTGAACTGTTTAGAACAAGGTCTACTCAAACAAACCACGATAAAAGCTTCTATCTGATAAAGCTTACCACAACACACAGCGAAGAGTTATAAGAACGTGCTGCTTTTCAACGTGGTTAACAGATCTCCTAAATATTCAGACTGTATTTGGTCTCTCTAAAGGTACCAGAATGCAATGAAAAAAATCCAAAACAGCCAACAATTTAATCATATATCACTACATACAGAAGAGGCCAATGTTGCCTAAATTTGTGCTATGAATTAGTGTTACATTTATTAAAGCCACATAACAAGTCAGCGGCAGGGCGCTTCAAGCACCCAATCCAGTCCACGCTGCACTGTCATTAATTTACAGTATCAAAAGAGCAGAACAAGCATCAGATGTTAAATTTATCTAAGTTTAAACTGACTCACAGTGTGGTCCTTTGACAAGGTTAAAAACAACAGTCTATGACAGAAATATGAAATTAAACTTAAAGTAGTCAGGTAGTCTTCAGGAAAAATATGGCCGTCTCCTTCTATAGGGAAGGAGTTCCAGAGGACAACAAGTGAAATGGCAAAACACCACCAGCAATCTATAATTAACTTGACTAAAAGGCATCTTGTTCCTCCTCCCTCAAAAAAGTGTGAAACAAAACAATATAACTAGAAATCAAGAAAAGAAAAACTGAATATAGAATATTTTGTTAACTAGAGAAAATATTAAAGTCCATTTATTAACTATTCCTATTGCTTGTGAAGACAGCACTTGAAATTTTCATACTTTTTTTAAAACAAAGATTGATAGAAGCCTTTTGGGAGGCGGAAAAATAAACAATTTATCAATTTAGACATATATATTTCACAGATACAATAGGCCCCTCCAGCCTTTTTTTCCTCCCCCCGCCCCGCCCTCCAGACCTGCAACAGCATTTCAATTTCACTTTAGAACGATTATACTAAATAGCATAGTTTCAGTCATGCCGACTTCCAGTAACACTCTTGGTTCTATGCTTTAGTAATTTAATATGCTATTTCAAATCAATTGCTTGTATTTTATCTATTCCACTTCACAGAGACACAATGCGCTAAGACATTAATGCTGACAGAATAATTTGGAATTATCTAACAGTACAGACATAAAAACGGACACATTGCGACTGCATATTTTAATGGGAAATGAAACAACCACTTCAGTAATTAATACACTGCAGGACTATTTTTTTCCTTCTCAATTATGTTACTTTATGGTATAAACACAACAGATATGTAACATGCCTTACCAGAGACGGTCAGCATTAACAGCGTCATCATACAACAAAATATATAGGCAAAACCCACCAACCACCAAGGCGTGGAATGTGGACACTGTCCTGAAAAAGAGATCACAGTCACAAGGAGGTACCGCCATTCACAACTTTATACACCGCGCTTGAGGTAGGATGTTTCCAAAGGCTTCCGCAACTGCATCCAGACACCTCTGTGGAAGACGACCCTCTCTTCTTCACGCTACGTCCAACCACTTCGACAACGACAGGTGGGAAAAACAGTCAAAAAGGAGGAATCTCTTAGATTGGGGCGGGGAGGGGTTTAAATAGAAAGTAGGGTCTTAAAGTAACGGAGATCTACATTTTCCTCCAATTATCCCATATGTTAATGAATCTTTAAAGACAATACGACATCCGGTTCTCTAATAAATACTTACTGAATTGTCCCACTTGCTGGAAAAGCTATATGCATTTCATACTCAGATTGGCCCATGAGTCCTGCAGCAGCAGGTTTCTCCTTTCAGGCACCGAGTTAATGGATGACCCGTAATAAATCTGCCAGGTTCAGGTTTTGGAAAGAGGGGCATTAAATGAAAAATCCTATAAAGGAAAGTTTCAGAAAGTAGTAGATTCTGGTTTTCAAAGAGAATACTTGCGTAACAAAAGGTCGTAGCTGAGTATCTGAGGTATAACATATAGTTATATAACTATATATACAAGTATATATATAACATAGTTCATATGAACTAGCAGTTCGCAGCTTTACTTAATTTTATACTCCTCTTGTCCTATATAAAGTCACAGTAATCAGAGTTGCCGTGTCCATACTTGGGTACTAAACACTTTTTTTTTTTCTCCCCCAAAGACACCAGTCTCAAGTACACCGGCTGCATGCACACTGTAGATAAACTCTGCATGTTAACAAGCGCCTAAAAAGAATTACTTATTTACAGAGGCCCGGACAGGGTTTCTGCCAGCACGCAGGCCAGGGCCATTCCTGCCCTTCTGAGTTCACACGTATTCTTGGAAGGTAGAACAATGCAATGGGCACGGGTCCAAAATGTGTAACCTTGTTCCTCTAGCCATGGGTTTACCACCACTACAAACTGCACCCAATACTGTGCAGCTACCGCCTGCTTTCCCACTTTTTAAGTGCGACTAGGAAGAAAAAAAATTGTGTGCCAAAATAACTCTACTGAATCATGGATAGCATTTGAAAGATGAGAACCCTAAGTTAGATGCTTAGGTCTACGATCACCTAAGATCTTAGGTGATCAGAAACACCTTTGCGCCATATTCACAGCACGAACAATATGCACACAAATGTATAGATGCTGTTAGCTATTAGTCTTGTCTTTGTACATATTGAATACCTGTATTTGGAAGTTATTAATATTTTAAATGTGCGTAAGTCACTCTCGGGAGCCTGAACTCTACCATGCAAGATTTGAAGAAAACATCTTACTTCCTTTGCAAAATCTTCCACAGGAAGAGTAGGTTATAATCCCTAGCCTGTTTCCAGAAGTTATATTATTGTCTATCGGCATTAGAAGATTCTGTGACTTTTCATAAAAGTAGTCTCTATTTACAATTTGTTTAAAGAGTCTCATCATGCTATTTTCAGCAGCTTTTTCAATAGTGTTCCTAAAAATGAATGGAGATTAATATAAAGAGCCAAATGTAACAAGCTGGATAAGAACATTTACTAACCATTATAGCACAGGCTGCTTCCCCCCCCCCTTTTTTTTTTAAACAAAGAAAGAAAATTTAGTTATCAGAATTTTAATGATAATTAATGGTTTAATTAAAATGTCTACTCTTGCAACAGAATTAATAGAGAGCTAGGAACTTTGCTTCCTTTTTAAGACAAAGCATGGCACGTAAGATTAGTGTTTGAGAAATACCTGGGATTTTTGAACTTTAGGAGAGGATAATGCTGAAAGAAGTAAAATTTGTCCTAGAATATAGCTCATTAGTTTACAGTTGCAGTTTGTCTCAGGAGTGGCTGTTTATCCAAACCTTAGTGTTCAGAATACAAGCAATACACAAGCACAGCACTTGAAGGGGGAGAAAAAAAAAAAAGAAGAAAGAAAAAAAAGCGGATTTCCTCCTTAACTCTGGACTTTGAACTTTCTCCATAGAAGAGGGGACAGAAGAAGGAAAGTAGTGCAACACTCCATTTTAATATGGAATCTAGGTCAAGTTATCAAGCTCAGTACATTTCCTTGAAATTATTACTGTCAAAGCTTGCATCCTTTAACTCCTCAGTAAACTGCAAAGAAAAAAGTTGCACTGATAAGTTGCGTACTTGTTCCTTTATTATTGAATATATATATATATTTTTCACAACTGCTTAATAGCAGTACAAACGTATTGTAGAAGAGGTGACAGGAATTTATGCACAACAAATTAAGAGTTACACTACAACTGTGTCAAAGTATAGTTTTTAACTCAATTTGAGCATCTGCGTACTTAAGATTCCAAAAGCAGTTACTTTATTGGTTCTTAAGTCTTGGAAGGTCAGAATGAACAAATTGACAGTATGGAAAACAGTCCAGAGCTGCAGCTCAAATGCTTGATTACAAAACCCTCCAAACTATATGTATTTTCAATGCTACAGCTCATTTCAGGCAGATTCCCTTTTCCAGACCCAGCTGAGCTGATAAAAATGCATAACCATCCTCTGTGCCAGTTTCCTTCAGGACTGCCAACAGAACCATTTGTGTGAGCACCCCCTACACCAGTTCAATATAGGACAAAATAACAAACATCCACTTTTAAATCAGTTAAGTTAACCCAACTCATTTTTCTGGAAGATAGTAACTTTCTCTACCTGCACAGCTACCTGCAGAGTACATATACGTCCATCTACATTCTCCGAACATATAAGATACCCTTTGGGGTGTTTCTTCATTTTGGTGAAACACTGGAGCAATGAGGCAGTTTGACAGAACACTGTGTTTGGTCAGCAGAGTTAACAGTCAATCCTTCGTAGAAACACAAGCACAGTTAGCCTTTCTCTCACTTCATGCCCTCCTCAGGTATACCATCAACAACCTGTTGATGAACCACGCTTTCTGTTTCATGCCTTCTAACTCCAGAACTGAATGTAGCACTGGACCACGATTCATGTGTGTGCCAACATCTACATCCTGCTATCAGCCCCGAGAAAAAACATGGAAAGAAGTAAAAAAGGACACAGCCTGGGGTGCTGTATCAACTTGAGCAGTTAAACACCTTACTACAAAGTAGTCCAGAGATTACAAAGCAGCTTATTTCCAGCACATTTGTGATGTGTGAAACAATTCATATGTTATTATGCAAAGCGCTACAACCTAGCATAGTGCTACCAGGCATGGGGTAAGTTCTCAGAAAGCCTATTATGCAATTCAAGGGTCACTTGATGTGGCTTAAAGACAAATGTTCCGCTCCAACGTGATAACAGTTTAGTTTACTTTCCCTGTCTGCCTCTATCGTCGATGGTAACAGAGAGATAAACCTAAGTTGCACTGATGTCACGAACTGGCATCCTACAAAGTTGTTCCGGCAGACAGGCAATTATTCAAAGATCGAACTGAAATAAAGATGGTGCCTTTACGAACACCGCAGGTGGACATTTGCCAAATGGAAAGGCAAGACTATTTGAGTTGCTAATGCTGCCTAGAACAATGGAAACAACTTTAAAAGTATCCACCTGATATTGCCTTTAAACAGCACCGAGGAGGAACAGTGATACGACTAATGCATTTTGAGTGCAGTGACAGCCATACAGTACACATTTTTGAGCTTCAAATTTGAGAAACACCTGAAAAATATTTTAAAGTTGTAATAGGCTACTGAAGCATAAAGTTATACTGTATCAATTCATTTCAACCGGAGAAGCTTGTGTACTACATATACCCTTTCAGAGTAGTATATTGCAAATAAAACCTCAGTGATCATCCCGTTTGCAATTACTACCCTGTACTTCCTTTATGGCTTAAAAGAGAGGAAAGCGCCCAGGAAAGATTCACAGGGTTGAACAAGTTTCTAACAGCGCTCTGTCTGAGGAGACAAGTGTAATGCAGGTGGATCCATCCCAGGGACGGAACTGCAGAAACACAAAGGGAGCGAGGAAGGTTTTTAGATTGAGTTTCCACAACTCCCTCCTGAATGTGTACCCTGCGTCTGTCATAGCTTCCCCCTCCTCTTCTTGCAGGCTCCTTCCCCACCAACACACAGGTGTACCTGTCCAATCCTGCCTCACGCCAATACTACACCAAAGATTCATCGAATTTCTTGGAAAACCATAACTTATATAAAACAGGTTGTAGCGTAGTAGCAGTGGGAGAACAGAGAGCAATTTGCTTTGCACCCAAAAGCATGACCAGAGATACACTAGCATTTAGATCATGGAATAAATTGCAAGTTTTGATTTTCATGTATGTTTGGGGGAAGGGAATTTTGTACCTCTTCTCTTTACTAGAAGCGTCACAGAGAAGCCATTTAAAATTAATCCACCTCAGCTCATTAGCTCTCACCAGTCGCTGTTTTCTTTTTTTACCGACTTTCACTTGGGCATCACTGTCTAACAAAGCGTTTAAAGAACAAGTGTTTGTAACGCTGTGTGTTCAAGAAGGGGCCTCAGCATTTTATATTCAGAATTTGTCAAGCACCTAGAGCCATCCCTCTAATCTTTACAGATGTTTAACTAGTAACATTTTCTGCAGTTTTAGATATACGCACACAGGTGGTTCAGATGTTGACGATTTCGGGTAGGTCATTAGCTGTAGTTTGTTTTGAACACTCTACCTTGAATTCCATTCGATCTTCCTTTTTTGGCCGAGATTGTTAAAACCGGGCGTTATTCGTGTTGACACCCAAGAACTTAAAACGTGGAACAGGAGCTGAAATACAGTAAAACTGGCAACAGCAATGCCAATAGTCAGGTTGCTGAAGGAAGCCATTGTTCTTCAGCCTGTGAAGAGAAGCAAAAGGTAATTTTAGTCCATTCTCCATTTAACTATTTTAAGCAGCCACAGAAAATGTTTTTGACAGCTAACTTATCAACAGAAATACTATTCACTAAAAGTTTCATCCTGTTCAACATTTCTACTGAAGCCTTAATAGTATAAAAGTATCCCCAAACTTTTATATGTTAAAAGTTGCATTTTGGTTTGGGGTTTTTTTTAACATTTGCATACCATACACTTTCGTTGCCTAAAGTCGCATGTATTTTATCTAGGCAGAAAGGGCAGGGAGGGCCACTGACCAGTGCAACCGCCAGCTCAGAAGTCTCCGCTCCTGTCCCAAGAAGCTCCGAAGTTAAAACTCGTCTCATTCTTACCAGATTGGCTGCTGCCGACGGGATTTTAAAAAGCAACAGTGAAATCAGGTAAGCGTAGTAGAGAGATTTTCAGGTCAGCCTCGGGAAGTAATAGCCTCACTGCAGTTTTATGTTTGTATACTTTACAGAGACAGTAGTTCTCAATTTGCACTTCGTTCACAGTAGAGGGCTTCTCTTTGTGATAGCGCATAGGCTATCATATTTGAGCTTTTTTTCTTCCTCACGTGAAAGTCTAAACTTCGCACCATTTCCGAGCACACCAAAAAGCTTCCTATCATCAGAGCTAATCCACTTTTCAGATGCTGGATGTTTAGCTATTTCATGAGGTCTAAATAAATAGCTAAACAATTCCAAACATAAATGTCAGTCTCTAAACGCTTCAGTCATTTCTCCCGAGTTGCCAGTATTTTGCAAGACACGATGATATTTTCCCAGAAGCCACAAACTTCTGACATACATCTCCGGTTTGATGGTGTCGTGAAGTGTTTTATATTCCAAGACTGGCAAAGGTTACAAACTCATAAAAAGTCAGTTTGTATTAAGTTGAACAGAAAGGGGAAAAAAAGCCAAATGGCTTCATTTAAAATATTTAAATAATTATTTTAGTAGCCATTTAAATAACTGCTGTCACTTATTTTAGTTTTACTGAAAAAAATACCTAAAAATAAAATGAAGACTTGGAGGCTAGCATAATTTGATGTTACTACAACAACCTCATGGTCAGCAAAAGCTGATACAATTATACAACACACTTATGTCCACCTTTAGTTCACATGCATTATAGAACGAGGGAACATGCCTTGGATTTTTGAAATTGTATCTGCATTGCAGATGGAAAGAAACTTGAACTTCAGGGGGAAAAAAAAAAAAAACAGAAAGAAAAGTCCACCAGTTAAAATAACAACTTTTAAAAAAATTAAGTACAATATTCTCACTTGGTGGTGTAAATGGTGAGTATATTGAAACACGGGTAGCGTTTAAACTTAGAACTTTAACAAAATGCGTATTACATATAGATCAGGAAAAAAATACTTTTGTCTTCAAAGATTTAGAAGCAGAAGGTTCAATGATCTCAAACTTTCTTCATTCCTCTGCTTTATTTGCCTTTTTTTTTTCCCCAGAATTGAAGAGTAAAAAAAGAAAGTGAATTATCTGAAAACTTTCTCTGACTAGTACCCACAGTAAAAGCTACAGCGACATAAGCAGAATGCAGGACAAATAACAGCAGACTTGCTGAGTGAAACCTGCATCCATATCACATGGATTTCAAGTGTTTACTTCAGAGCAGCTTAAATCCTGTCCTAGGGACTCCGCAGCTGTTAGATCGTATTTGATGTGCTCTTCGGGCCTATCTTCCTGCTCAGTTTAACCCAAAAGGAATCCTAAAAAGGAGTTTGCATGCTCTGGGACAGCTATGCAACACAAACC